TAGTGAAAGGACCCGTAAAATGTTCTGTAAAACTCCAAAAGCCTTCGGAGCCGTGCTCCTGAGGCGGAAGCGCGGGCTTTCTCCCTCGCGGTGAGGAAGCTGCGGGATGGGCGGCAGCGCCTGTAGCGGCCCTGGCCCTCCTCGCTCCTTTCCTGGCTCCCTCAAGCCCGCGACTCCAGGCCCGCCTGACCTCTGTGGGACCGTCGCCCGCTGGTCTTCGCTCCCGAGACACCTCTTCACCACCCTCCCGCGCAGTGCCAGCAGGAACAGCACGCCAGTTTCCCGGCGTGCCCTGCAATCCAGCATAGCCCCGAAGCTCCCAGCATGCCCCGCTCACACCACGTGCTCCCGGCATGCCTTGCTATCCTGGCCGACTCCGAACGCTCCCAGCATTCTCTGCATGCCCGTTTTTCTCTCACGCTGATGACGCTGACAGCTGCTGAGAGGTTCCTGCAGTTCCCTGAGAGGAGTTGGGGTTCACACCAGTGGGGCCAGGCCAGGAGGCTTTGTGGTCCCCGAGGGTGAGGAAAGCTGCATCTGCGCAGTACAGCCCCTGCAGAGTTGTAGTCACCAAAATCCTGCACCGACCTTGCTGGCGGGCTGTCTGACCTCAGGTGCGGAAGTCTACTCTTTGTGTTCGCCTGAAAATTCTGGCAAATTGTCATGACTGGAACGTCCAGCAGCGTGGCGTGGAGGGGAAGCCTGATGCAAGTGGGGTACAGGCGCCACGTTTTCATTTGATAAATACTTATTAGGCGCCTGCTGTGAGCCGGGAGCTTGTCTAGGATTTAGTCATGGAGCGTGAAGCAAACTACCTTCCCTGCCCTTGTGGGGCTGACAGTTTACTGGGGAGGAGGGCAGGCAAATAATAAGATAAATGAACAAAGTATTAGTATGGTAAATGATGATGGACGCTTTGAAGACAGGGAGTCTTGGGAGAGGCCATTACAGAGCTCAGGAGGCCTCATGGAGCAGGTGACGTGGTGACGTAAGACATGGAGGAGGTGGGAGGGGGCGACCATGCGAATATAGAGGGAGAACATCGCAAGAAGGAATAGAGGGCATAAAGGCCCGAGGCAGAGGGGTGATCAGCTGGCTGCAATGCAGGAGAGAAGTAGCAATCACTTAAGGATATTTGAGAATCAGACAGACATGGGGCCAGATAGGTTAAAGCGGAACACAGAGTTAGGCCTGATAAGCCGTGTTTTGTTGTAATAGGTACACCCAGGCTGCTATGCTGAGAATCGTCTGAAGGGGACAGAGGACAGGAAGGAGAGCAGTTAGGACGCAATGGCAATTATTCAGGGGAGAGGTGATGCGGGATAGATCAGGGTAGTGGCATGGAGGCCATGAGGTGGGATGAGGTTATTGAGATATTTTGAAGTTAGATTTAATAGGCTTTGAATATGGCTTAATATGGGATCAGAAAGGAGTCAAGTGTAAAGGTTTTTGTACTAAGGACTTGGAAGGATGGGGTTGCTCTTAACCGAGAAGGGGAAGACTGTGGGAGAGGCGTGCTTGGGGATGAAGATCAGAAGGATTCAGTTTTGGACATGTCGACATTGAGAAGTTGTTCTGGGGAAAAGAACTGTATGTCATAGTTGATGTTTAAAACCACGAGACCAGGTCAGATTTCTAAGAGAATGAGTAGAAAGAAAAGAGGTCCTTACTCAGAATCCTGGGAGACTCCCATACAAGTTTGAGGAGATGGGGAGGAACCGCAAAGGTGAACTGTCAAGAAATTTCTATTAAGAGATTTGCCACTTTCCAACTTTACAGCTATCCAGGTTCCAGAAGTTATGTGTTGAAAGTATGAGATTTCATAGTGTGTTTAATGTTTCCCTTAAAGTATTTGAGTAATTATTTGCAAAGTTTTGGCAAAGAGGGTGTTTTTAGATTGCCCTCTAACTCAGTAAGAAAGTGCTAGATACTTATATGTTGTTTGGTTACTTAGAACCACAGCTGTGAGATCATAATAAGTGATTAATTGTCACAAGGTTGGTGAGCAAAATCAGCCTCTTATGACAAAAATAATTTCCTGCTTAATGAACAAAATGCTATCTTCTGAAACTACCATTCTAACAAATGTAACGTCCCAAACTTAACATTCATAGTCTGAAGGTTTTGTCAGTAATCATTGGAATTATTAAAACAAACTCTGATGATTACAGAAAAGCTCTTTATCCCAC